CCCCAAAACCCCAAAACCCCAAAACCCCAAAACCCCAGTGGTTCAACACAATATTGAATTAGTGATGATAAATATGGTCCGCAATAGAATTAATTCTGAAATTATAAAGGTACAAGTTATTTGTTCATGAATAGGAGAAGCATCCTTGATGAGTATGCCTTGGATTTGGAAATAGGGAAATATTTGCGATGCTGGTCTAGGGGAGAGCGAATATTTGGACCCATTCTAAAGGTATTGCTCTCTCTTCTTTGCTGGGATTTACACTTAACATAGTATTTCTTCTTATCAAGGTTGACCTGGAGTCTCTCTGTTTTATGACAAGAGACGGAACCTTTATCTCTCTTAAGTTTATTAGTGAACTGAAGAGATCTTGAAACTTGGTTTATTCCTCAGCTTTCATCCATCTCGTCATTCTCAATATCGGTCTGGTCGTGATCAAAAATATATTCTTTATCAACTTGGTCTAAATAGTAGGGTTAGACTAAAATTCATTGTTAGAGTTAAAACTACTTTTTATTAAATCATTGAAATTTCTAAATTTAGGTAGATATTTCGAATAATTTCAATTTTAGATTAAATCATCTTATTTGAAAACTTGTGCTATATATTAAGGTTGGAAATGTCCGTCATTGGAAAGGAAAAAATAATCCTCAAAATCCAAAAAATATAATTATAACTCAACTTGCCTAAAGAAATAAGTTTTGATTCCTTAATTGACTTCAGACCCTTAACACCTTAAGACAATACTAATAAAAACTCAACTCTCTAAGTACACTTGAACTTTGATCACAAATATTTCAAAGATAAAATCTGGTTTAGGAAAATAGAGAGAAGTCATAAGAGTCTGGAACTCCCAATCATATGCCAATAGTATTAAAACTAGGAAAATCTTTATAATACTGAAGGGTTACCCTCCTTGTTTCTAATCAACCTCATTATTAAAAATAAAGAAAAATGATTTGTTATAAAATAAAGTTTAAAACAAGCTACTACATCATGGATCTGTGAAAAGTTTTGGAAAGAGTAGATCACCACTTTCCTTTTGTTGAAACTTGATAAATTTTGCAAGGAACTTTATTCAGAAGACACTTACCCATTTTCTTTGTAATTTGCCCAATATTTAATTAATAACCTGGGGTTTTGGGGTTTTGGGGTTTTGGGGTTTTGGGGTTTTGG